CCTCTAATATCAATATATATATATATATATATATATATATATATTATATTATATATTGATACAAAAAGAGTTTGAGTTGCAATCATGGATATATTATATATAGATAGATATATATATAAAGATTATACTACTAATCTGCCGGTCAATGTAAATGTTTGATAGGTTTTGAGTGAACATCGTAATCCAAGTAAAGATTATAAAAATATGAAAATGTTATATTAATGATATTGATATATATATATACACGAGAAAACGTTTATATTTTATATTGATGTAAAATTTTGAAATATTTAGTTGAATATTTATAGATACAAAATTATGTTATATCACTACAAGAAAATCTTCATTTTGCGACGGAACTTGTGACAGATTATTCTGTCGCAAATAAATTACGACGGAATACAACAGTATCCCGACGGAATGTTGAAAAAAATTTCACGTCGCAAATAGTCGCAAAATCCGTCAAACATTTGTGACAGACTGCGAGGAGACGTTGTCGTCGCAACAACAAACATTATTTGCGATAAAAAGTTTAATACGCATCAAAATTTGCGACAGAAATTTTTTGTCGCAAATATTATTTTAAATTTATTTTATTTATTTTCGAAAATTTTAATTATTTTTTATTTATTTTATTTATTTTTTAGAATATCTGTTGCAAATTCTAATTTCATTTATTTCCGTTCTTTTCAATAAAATTTTTAAATTTTCGCGATTTTTATTTCTTTGCGACAGATTACGACGGAAATTTCCATCGCAACACTAAATAAAAGTCGCGACTTCGTCTTTCTCCTTCAGACTTTAAAATTTCCAAAACAAAAATTAAAATCTTCTCCAATAGCCTTCAATTGTTATTTTCTTTAAAAATTATCAAGGTAAGTGTTTGTATCTCGTATAGATATATATGTACGAGTGTGAATATGTATATATATGTATATATGAATTATATTTATATTTTGTGTATATGTGTGTGTATATTTTGTGTGTATGTATGCATGTATGTATGTATGTGAATGTGACTATGCTTGTGTATGAATGTGTTTATATGTGTGTTGATGTGTATATAAATGTGTATATGTGAATATGTATATGTTGTGTGTGTTGTGTATATATATATATATATATATATGTGAATGTGAATATGTAAATGTGTGTTTACGTGTATGTGTATGTGTATGTGTATGTGTATGTGTCTATATAGGTATTATATCAAAAATACTTTTACTTTGTTATTCTTACTTCAACACATACCCTTCTCCAGTTTAACCATGTGACCAATATGACCCAAAATATAGTGTGGTCATATTTTGATTTTATTGATTATAACGTTAAATTTATGGTGATCTTACTAATTCATTATATTCATATCTTGCATATCTTACTAATTATTTGATTAAAACATCATAAATTTAATGTTATAAACAATGAGAATGACATGTGACCACACTATATTTTGGATCACATTACTCACATGGTCACAACTGAAAAAGGGTATGTGTTGAAGTAAGAATAACAAAATAAGAGTATTTTTGATAATGCTCCGTCTATACATTTCAAATTGCGAGTGATACCGTATATATATATATAGTTGCAATAATATACATACTGATCAATTAATTAAGGCATAATAAAGACAAATTCACAAGTATATGATCAAAGGAGGGTAAAGAAAAAGTTATTACCTTGTTACATTTGAGAATCACAGTCCAATTAATTTGTAATACAAAAAATAAATTAGAAATGAAAAGATCTATAATGAAAAAGGACATCAGCAGCAGCACCTGCTTTGCTTTTTGCTCATATCACATCACACAGAAATTTACCACGCAGTCAAAATATACTCTTGTAATCTGATTTTACTACATATACATATATATATATATATATAATATGTTAATATGTATATATAATTTTATAAACTTTTTTTTAAAAAAAAAGAGCATGACAATGATGACGGACTTTTTTTAATGATGGTTCCTCTTAAATGTATCGCCAGTGTTTAAGTCTCTCTCACGTCGTCGTTTGCATTGTACCCCTGACGACATATGCATGCACACATTCATTTTTTATTTATTTCGTTCTCTCTGTCTATACAGATCTTTATAACCATATATTCACACACACACACATATATGTATGTATGTATGTATGTATGTATGTATGTATGTATGTATGTATGTATGTATGTATGTATGTATGTATGTATGTATGTATGTATGTATGTATGTATGTATGTATGTATGTATGTATGTATGTATGTATGTATGTATGTATGTATGTATGTATGTATGCTGTGATATGCCCATTTGCACGAACTTACACGAAATTGTGATATTTTTTATGCATTGAATATCTGTTTAAAGAGGGGGAAATAATAAAAAATACAAAATTATCTTTAATGATTTTTTTACGAATTCGAATTTAGATACCGTGAGCTCTTTTGTTTTCTTTTTCGAGAATATAATAATCAAATATCCAAAACTCAAAGATACGAGATCGAATTTAAAAATCTTCGGATATATGACTGATTCCTGTGCCATCTATAGTATATATTTTTTTTAATGGACCAAACCCTAATTTCGTTAATGAAAAAAATAAATAAAGGTTGGTATCATTATCCATGCATGGTTTTCTTGCCGTTTGTACTTGTTTTATGAGATGGTGTTTTATTTTATATTAATTCATTACCACATATAGAAAATAAATAGATGGTTATCATAACTATAACTATAATATATATATATATAGTGATTTTAATGAAATTAAAACGTCTGGTCCAAAAATGCTCCGATCAATGTCACTGACTGCAGCTACATCTATATCCATCCCTATGCAGCTTTAGGGTCTAAGGAGGGCGATGTATCATTGATCCTTTTTACAACAAAATAAATTTAATGTAATCATAGCAAGTATGAAGGCCGAAAAGCAAAATTAAATATGCGTTGTAATAGATTAAATTTCTTTTCTTATTAGATGTCTATGCTCAATTATCAATTTTTCAAAATAAATTAATAAGTTGATTGAATATTAAATTAATGAAAAAATTAGATATAGATATTTATAATAAAAACAGAATACCAAGTAAAATACAAATTGAACAAGTATAATTTATAAAAAATAAAAAATATATGAACACAAATGTAAACCGAGACACGCGTTATTCAATTCGGATTGGTTTTTCGGTTATTATCCAAGTAGACTTGTCAATTCAACCAAATCAAACCGGTTGGTTCGGTTCGATTAGACGAACACGGCTAAATCATATTTGGCCCCACTCAGGCTCTGCCCACCACTTTAACCGGCGACGCTGCTCCGATGGGGTCCGTACGGTTGAGCGTCTCTGCTAAATTCCTCGAGCTCTTCGGTTTCTTCGTTTCGCTCTTCTCCTTCCTCTATCTATCTCTACAATGGCTGCCTGAGACAGAGTTGGGGAGATTTCGAGCGGCTCTGGCCTTCGCTGCGTCTGCCTCTCTCGTTGTTGTTTTTCTTATGTGTGCGTGAGCGCGCGAAACGAGGAAGATTTGAGACAAAAGCTGAAGATCTTCGCGACAAGGAGGGATCCGTCGCCGCCTGCGGCGAGGCTGAATAAGTGCTGGCCGAAGGCGGCGGATTCAGCTGTTCGAATTGGTGTTGAACTCAAAGCTGAAGATCTTCACCGTCTCCAGCAGATCTAAGCGATGACAGAGAGAATCGATGGGCTCTGGTATCGATCAATCTCTCTTCTCTATATTTAGTTCTTTCGTATATTTGGATTTTCAGATGAACTAACTCTTCAGGGTTGTAAACACATTTGCATAAATTCCAGTGTTGATTTCGGGCAAATTCGATCATACGATAGAAATCTCTCCCAATGAATCATCTTTTTTAATGTTTTAAGAATTAAAATACAAAAAAAAAAAAGATGGCAAAAGGTTCACAAAATAGAATGTGAAGAACTTTTGCCCTTTTGCACTTTCAGAGCCGTTTTACCAAAAAAATCTTTTCAAGTTCAGCAGCCTGCTTGTGCAAGAAAAAAGAACAAAACATCCAAAAACATCACCTTGAGCCTCCACTTCCACTTCCCATCTTCTTCTGCTGTTTCGCCTTTTCGATCAGCGGTTTCAACTGCTTCTTCTCCGCTAAGAGTTTCAGGAAGTTGAATAGAAACGGTATGTAATTATGCTTCCTCCTGATATTATCCGTTCTCCATTTCTTGAACTTCTCTTCCTCCATTATGATCTTCTCGGTTGCTGCCTCGATCCCGTTGTTCACCTCTCCAAGAGACAGGTTCAGAGCTTCCGAGCTGGTTTTGTCCGAATCAGAAAACTGCTGCAAGATGTGTTCTCTCTGCCTTTGAAGCTCCTTCAGTTCAGTGGTGTAGATATCTTTCCTGTTCTTGATGACAGCAAGAAGGTTGAACCTGATCTCGCTCTGGGAATACCTCTCGATCCGTTCTTGGATCACGGGCTGAACCATTTGGAGCCATTCGATTCCGTCTTGGCCACCGGGGCATGGGCCAAGACTGATAGGTCCCTCTTTGAGTCCATCGAGCTCATACAGTATGCCATCAACAGGTACATAGCTAATGAAATGGTACACGTCGTCATCTTTCGTAGCGGCCTTTTGCTCCTCCGGTACGAAAGGCTCAGGCCTCGCGAAACTGTTGTGAGCTGTCCTTATGGCTTCGCTGTTATTGATAGCCAAACCCTTTAGCTCAGGTGGAAAATTCTTGGTGAATTCTTTCAGTTTCGATAACTCAGGACCGATCTCCACCTCGGGTGAGTTCAAAAGGATGGACAGTATTGCTTGGGTTGCACATGCATTATTAATGACCTATAAAACAGTGAACAAACAAAATTTGTGACAACGACGGAAACGACAAATCCCACCAATCGTAAACCATCCATGCAGTAAAAACCAACCTGGCTCGCAAAAAATAAGTTAGGAACTGTATCCTCGATTGTTGGACGGTCATCTTTCTCTCCAGCGCGCCATTTGAAAAGAAAAATCAACCCATATACGGGTCTATATACCAATAGGCAATAACATATAGTTCAAAATCAGATATTTAGCCGTGAGATGCACATACAAATAAGTACAGAGAATTTCCAGTATTTGAGGGAGAACTTCGAAAGCAGGGTGCAACTATGTACGTAACTTACTTACCTAAGATTATTGAGAGAATCAAGATCTAGGGAATACAGTTCTTCAACCTACAAAAATTGACAGAAAAATGTTGTTTCAGTGAATGTCCAAGAAGACAGAAAAACTGAAGACAAATGCAGAAAGCTGACACTAGAGATCTTCACTAAAACCCAGCTACATGTTTTTGCATAAATAAAAAGTCCACCCGCTGAGAAAACGAAAGATAAGGAAATGGCTTTGGTGCCATAACCACCGCAAAACTCTCGGGAAGAACAGCCTGCAAACCAATCTCTCTCAAATACCCAGTGTATACTCACAAACCAATCTCTCCCACTGTGAATTCATTACTTCAAATACAACGAATGAGTTCACAAAATAAATCAATTAAAAACTTCTTCTGATCATTTCAAATTTCATTCCAAATCCATTGGTAAACCCATATAGACCTCGAATTAATGATGGAAAAAACAATTGGGTTAAAAGAAAACGATATTTACCCAAAAGCATCATGGCAAGTCCAAATTCGAACGACTGTGATGAAATATTTCAACCGATTGCTAAAACCAAGGGTTTAATATTAACATCTCCAATTCACATATGCATCTATACCCTAGATTTAATTGGTCGATAGAGATACACTGTAAAGTTCAGCCATTTACTAAACAACAAGGAGATGACCTCCCTGTAACCTGAAAAAAAAAAACAAGAAAACCAAACTGCATAAAATGTAAGAGTAGTACCTGCACTCCCTTGACTTGCATTTGCTGAATAAGCTCCGTAAATACGCCTACACATGTACAGAAGTAACCATAAGCGAAAATAACAATTGAAAAACTGGAACAGCTTGACATGTACGTAATTGCAGAGGCTCGCAGCAAGTGACAGTTAATATACCCAGAAACTCCAATCAAATACCGATGCGTTTGAACTACAAATCTTTGTAGCATGATTACCCAGCACCCTGTTCTTCCCCCCCCGACTATGCTTGTGTATGAATGTGTTTATATGTGTGTTGATGTGTATATAAATGTGTATATGTGAATATGTATATGTTGTGTGTGTTGTGTATATATATATATATATATATATGTGAATGTGAATATGTAAATGTGTGTTTACGTGTATGTGTATGTGTATGTGTATGTGTATGTGTCTATATAGGTATTATATCAAAAATACTTTTACTTTGTTATTCTTACTTCAACAATTGCCCAACACTAATCTCTTAATGGTAGAAAACCTACAATCCTGGCGAAATCATACTCCCGTATACAAAAAGGCTGAGATGATTTCACAGGTTGAATATATAGCGAATGCCTTCACATTGATTTCGTCCGAATTTTCACACAATCTCAACAATCCCGAAAAACGTAACCTTGATCATCAATTCCAATAATTTTCATAAAACAAGTAAAAGGGTATAGCACAGAAACTGACATTTAACATTTAAAACATCAAATTCCAGCACAATACTATACCGCTTAACGCGGAGAGAGACAAATTCGACATCAAACCAGTTCCATTATCCCATTATATAAGCCCTCACAAAAGAAATACACCGATTCACGGAGACAAAACACGTACCAGGATCCGACTCTATCGTGCACCAAGACATGGCGAAACTAGCTGCAGCCCACCGAACAAAGAAACAAACCCACTAAAATTGACACAAAAAATCACTTCCGGTCAAAACTTCGGGGGAAAAAAGCTCTGAAGTGTCGTAGAGATGGAAGGAAGATAGGGACGAGGAACATACAAGTTTGATAAAACTTTAGGAAACGCCTTCCACGCAGATCTTACTGCGTAAGAGAAACGAAGAAGATGAGAAAAATTGAGATGTCTGAGCTCGTTTCGAGAGCCTTCTCTGAATCGAATTCGGGAACTGCAGAAATTAGGGTTTCTCTTCGGTGCACACTGCACAAAGCTTCTTCTTTTTTCTTTTTTAATGACAGGAAGGTGTCTTTTGATCGTGGAGGAAACACGTCTATAATTTGTGTACCGCCGATCCAACTCTATGAACCGCTAAACCAAATATCAGACCGGTCCGGTATGACAACGGACTCCAATTTTATCATTCCAGACTTGGGATCTTGCAGTGGCGGATCCAGAAACATATATTATTGGGAGTAAATTTTTTTTATGATAAACATCCTTAAATTTGTGGGGATATTTCATAGTTTTATTTAAAATTTTATACCATTTATATAGAAAATATTTTTTTTTATTAATTGAATGGTAGCATGCACCCCATACCCATATCATTCAATGTAGATCCGTCACTGGGTATATACAATAAAATGTTGGTTTAGTTGGTGCATAATATCGTAACGATCCAAAAGTTAAACGTGAACGATTTTTATAATGGATTTTAAACTCATTATTAGTTGTAGCAAAATCATAAATTTGGAAGTAACTATGCTAGTTAGGTATATATTTATATATGTTTACCCTAGCAACATGTGTGTTTTAATACACATTTAAAATGTTGAAAATTTTAATATTCTTAGGACCGCTAACCGAAAGCACATTTTAACGAGGCCGAGCTTCTATTTATTCATGTAGTCTACTGTGTGCGTATTTATTTATATTTAAACTTTTAAACGATCATTTTAGTACCCAACTTTTTGTTATTTTTTCACCCATTATTACACAATTTTATACCCATATTCTGCAAAAATTTGTAAAAAGGATATATTTTTTTATCTTTTTATCTTTTTAATTATAATTAATTTCGTGATTTTGATAATTTTGTAAAATTTAGATACTAAAATACAATTAATATAAAATCTGGATATTAAAATGATAATAAAAAAAAACCGAGTACTATCATGTGGTACAAAAGACTGTCTTATTTCCAACAAAACCCGATAAAAGACAATAACCAAAAGTAAATACGACAACAGAACCTTTCCCCCGCGTGTGTGTGTGTGTATATATATATATATATATATATATGGAAAATAAAAATAAAAATGTTTATTATCTAATTAACAAAGGAATTATAACCTAAGCCTAATTTTACAGCTACTTCTTTGAATCCTAATAACATTATTAGGAGCCAAGTTATCAACAGAAACCCCACACCTAACCCGAAATTTCACCTCCATCAGTTTCAATTTCCCAAGTTTAATCCTAACCGGTTGGTTAACTCTAACCCGCAATGGTATATTCCCGGTTTGAAGCTGCTGCTGTTGCAATGTTGCCATTAAACCGGCCGCATCCTCCGTCTGCCCGGTCATTTCTACGTATAAAACCGTCGTATTTTCATGACCCTGGTAAAATTTCGGCAACGAACCTGCAAAAGATCACATAGTATGTTTCGGTTTATACTTAACCGGGACGGCCAAAAAGAATGAAACTGAACCAAGAACCAAACAGGGGAAAACCGAATTCTGATGTACCTTCGCTGAGTTTGGTTCGAGTGTACCACACACTGATCTTGCTTCCATCTTCATAGTAAATACCGATCTTCTCGTTCGGATTCTTGGCCGTGATCGTGACGTTAAAGGTGGCGGATAAACTCGAGTTTTGGTTGAGCGAAAACCGGGTGAGCTCTAACCGGTCGATGGAATAATCCGGTATCTTCGGTTTAAACACAAGGTAGAGGATCCCGACCGTGGCACCGAGAAGAACAACGAGAAGCAAGAGGACACAGAGCGTGTAACACACGCACCGGCAACAGCAGCTTCTCTTCCTCTTCTTCGGCGGTGGCAACGGCTGGTAAGGTACGGTCCTTCGCGGCGGAGATTCTTTGCCGGGGTCGCCGCGATCCGATCTGGACGCGCCACGTGGCACAAGAGGAGCCGTGGGCTGCGGCGGAGCTTCCTGGTCACTCACCGGGTGGATTTTCTGGTGATCGGACATGTCGGAGGATCGAAAAGTGAGGATCTTTGGAAACCCTTTTTGTGAAAGTTGAAGTCTTTGATCGAATTTGAGGATTTTTTTTTTTATGTAAAGTAAGGATTTTTCGGTAACCTTTTTTCTCTAGAGTTTATGTTTTTTGGGGGAATATAAAGGAAGAAAATCAAGAAGGGGTTTTCAACGTCCTTGTCCCGTATTCACAAGGATTGATTTAGTTCTCTTTCGTGTAATTTATTTATTTACTTTTTTATATTAAAAAACATGTAAAAATTTGGATAAATGATTAATAAACGATTAATAAATGTTTAGTGTTTCTTTTTCTTCTTGAGTCTTGACCAAAACGTACACTATGAATTTCGGGACCGTGTAGTCGGTCAACAGATACACAAACGCGTAGCTTTTTTCTAATCCCACCTAAATAGTGCACCAAAAAATATACGGAAATTACCTAACAAATCTGTAATTAAGCGAAAATACAGGCTTCATTTTACAAATTATAATAATTGCCCATTCAAAATCTTCAATATCTTAATTTTATAGTACACACACGTCCTATATATATATATAACATCTACAAATTATATTACTTTATATAAGCAATTTTAACTAGTCTAGTTACAATATGATGATAGATACATCCAGAAATTTAATATATATTTTATAAGATAATTGAGATAATTACGATTATATATACTTGTTGAGAAACTTAAAATCGTGAAGCAACTTATTTCATTGTTTTCTAAAAGTCTTGCTTTGGCGTGAAAGGATAAAACTAATAGTATTCCTATAATATTTTTTATTCCTAAAAATAAAATATGAAAAATCTCTTCTAGAAACCAAAATATGAAAAAAAAAAAGAGAGTCAAAGACTGCTCATATATGATTGTTTTAGGAGCCAAACAAGTGTTTATTATTTTTAAAATTTTTCCATATAAACAAATGTTATATTTATGTTCCAAATGAGACACAGTATTAGCTTATAAACCCGAAGACTTCGGTATGTTCTTATTGCAATTAACGATATACTAAAATGGCAACTCTGTCTGAAAATCAGTTTTGTTCTCCATATATATTTATCATACACTCTTTTTTTTCCACGTAAAAACATTGCCCAAAAAATATTCACGTAATAACAGGAAAAAAAAAACTTCGAATTATTATTACAATAATGTTTCTATAACGGTCCATCAATTTAACAAATATAAAGTATTCTGAAATAAAAGTAGTCAATATTCATGAACCGTGTATAAAAAAACACACTGCTACATAGTCTTAAATGTTTTTGTGTGACTATCAAAGTTTGTTGACCTAATCCCTCAAGACTTTTTTGTAGGGAATTGATCTCATGCATTTCATCATTAGTTCTTCCCCCTTTTTCCAATTTTATTTATATATATATATATATATATAATTTGTTTTGGGGTCAGTTATAAAATCCTGTAAACATTATTCTATAACCTATATCCCGAATATTTTTTTTATTGATCGTTTGATATGGACCGTTGTCTGAATATTTGAGTCCTCGGGAAAAGATGTGCCGGCATCTAGGCTGAATAGTCGTACTTTGGATCATCAGTTTCTGACAATCCATCTTCTGTTCATACTAAAGATTCATATAGTTCATACTATACAGTTTGGTGAAATTATATGTATTAATATTCATGGTTATAAGGTGACATTTGTGTATTAAATTTCTATATAACAAACTTTTATGCAGTGTGATGTAATAAATGAAGTGGACCGACAAAAAAAAAAGCAGCATATGGGTATTAGGTGACATCTTGTGTATTAATTTTCATATGATATCCCTTTGTCCTCTTTGGTGGCTATATTAATATAAGACATGGTCATACAAATCATATTTTGATCCATAGAGTATGTTCTCTATATTATTAACTATATCCAACTTAAATCTACATCGACTATTTTACCATATCCAAATTAAATCTAATCTTAAAACTAATATATAAAAAAAAAGGAACAAAAAGAGGATTTTTTAACATAAATCTAACACAAACAGAACAAGAATCAAAACAAAGGAAGAAATAAAAACCGAAACCAATGGATATGGTTTCCTAAATTAAAAAAAAAAAAATCCAATTGAAAACCAAAATCTTCACACAAACAGTGTAACGATACGCAAATGCAAACTTGCAGAATATGTGATGACATCTTCGGACATTGCAAGTGAGAAGAGGACACGAATATCTAAAATATTTGGAAAAAAAAATCGAAATGAAAAGAGAAACTTCAAACAAGGAAACAAATTCCCTCCTAAGTTGTTTACACTGTTCTGTTCACTCAACCTTCCCATATGTAATATAGCATACTCTCATAACTACATGAACTTGTTACCGATCAATGGACAACAGGCTTCAGCGGATGAGCTCTTATTTTCGAGAAATCCAGACTTGCATCGATCTCTTCATCCAGTTCCCCGATAATGCTTCTGTTGAAACATCCACGGAAGAAAAAGGATCATGAATTCATGGAGAGTTCGCATAATTCTAGATTTCATATATCAATGTACCATGAGATCATTGTGATTTGTAGGTGAAGGGTCATTAGATCATATGATGTAAAGATCAGAAGGAAAGCATGACATTACATGTTGTCGCCTCTGATGATGTACAAGCCCAACACCAGTTGCTGCACTCCTTCCTGGGAAAAAAACCGAGCAGATAAAACTGCCACATGAGGATCTATACCCGGAAGATTTCAAAGAAAAAGCTCAAAACATTAGGTGAGAAAGTGAAAAACAAAGAAGAGTTGGGAAGAAACGAGTCTCTTAGGCTCAATCAGAAGGTACTCGAAGTGGCTTACTTATGGAAAGTATCCTAAATGCAATGTAGTATGTCAGAACACATTTTAACCTGGAAACTAAAGATATGTACAATTCTTTTAGATAGCACTCCCTGAACAGAAACTAGATGGGGTGACTTTGGTAAGAAATAAAATGAAACTGTAAGCTTGTCTTGTGAACAAGTTTTTCCTAGATTTGTCCTCGAATATTTATCTTTCCAACAGATTCATCTTCAACTTCAATCTTAAAGTAAAGTTTTCACAAACATATCAGCTTCTCCTTCCAGGATTTGCCTCAATTATATATATATATATATCCCACAATGTTCAATCAGAAAGGTCATTTGATGCAAATGCATCTGTGCCGTACACTCACATTTTCTCGATTTTATTAAGTTATGAAGATTTAATAGCACTATATCTGTGCAAAATAAGTTGTTGCAGTTCTGTTTTAAATTCGAATCCCTAATCTCGCCCAACAGAAAGAAAATAAAACAAAAAACCTTCCATCTGCATATCTGTAGTGGCCATTGTACATTCATCCATTCAGAAGTCACTTATTTCTCTGTATACCACCACTCTATTACTCCATGGACCAAATTAGCTGGTGAATCAAAGCCACTAATGCATATGACTGTCAAGTAGGAGTTGAATCTAAGGAAGGTCATGCCGGTTCAAAACTAGTCAAGTGTTTTACGAAGTTACTCCGGAAAATCTGCCCAGAAAGAAATGATGCACGCCCGAGTTTCGTAAACAAAAGCATATTCAGCCACTAAACTTAGAACCTATCCATATACCCACAAACTTTGGAAGAAATGCTTGGAACAAATAAATGACATACCTTGGTGGAAAAGACACGTTCATGAGATTCATCTAGGATTATATTCGTAGCCTGATCAAAGCCTTTGAGAACTCCCTGGAACACCCAAACATGGGATGGGAAAACCTTTGCATCAATGTATGTATTCCTAGCCTGGTTATTCAGACTAAAAACTCGAAAAACAACGTACCACAATGTTGCGTCCATCATTTGTGATTACCGAAATGGTTTCTGCAATTACCCAAAAATATAAATATTAGTCAAAAGTGTGGAACAGGGTACCAAGATGCCAATTCAAAATGCATCACTTAAAGATTGCGTAGAAGGACAACTTACGATCGACAAAAGACTCGAGTCCAATGACTGTCGACATATTAACGAAGATTTGCTGCAAAAATGGTCCAACGATTTATCACCTGAAAGATAATTCAGAAATTACACGGAATAACAACAACATGGTACAGAACTCTTTGCTTCAAAGAGGAATTTCATCGAACGCCTGGTGGGCATTTCGGATATGTAAAACGAGGAAAACCCAAAAACGCCCCTACAAAACAGATTCTTCTTGGTTCACCCTCTCAATAGAATCTTCTACAGAAGTTGAATGAACCCAGAATGTTTTCAACAAGTTTGACAAGGAAACCGTAGTGAAATGCGAAAAGGAACATGAAAGAAGATTGTATCTTGGGATGTGATTTAGGGCTTTTGGGAATCTGAAGCGCGTCAAAGGAGCAGTGAGAGAGAGCTTACCTCTTCGCAGTATTCAACTTTGGCGCAGAGAAAAATCGTTGCTTTAGGTGAGAATTCCGAGTATCTTAAGCCCTAAACCTTTTCTCTGACGGAAAACGGAGAAAGTTCTCAGACGGGCAAAGTGAAATAGACTCCAGGTGGTTTTTAGTATTGGTTTGGTAAATTATTTATTGCACATTTGGCCAAGAATTTAAAAATATTACAATATAGTCCTTTTTGTAGCTGAGCTTATTTGCCCCGTAAGTTTTGCAGTTATCGTTTCCCCCCCTAAATTTTAAAAATTATCTGTTTTCCCCATCACCGTTAAACTGTTCTGTCAAAAATTTCCGTATCACCGGTAATGCAATTCCTCCGATTAAAAAAAAAAATAGGAACAATTGATAGTTGTCTTCGTGTCATGTCGTAATTTATGGGAAGAATCAGATGTTTATGTTTTTCCAATTGATGTCTGCCCCCTTTTATTTGCTCTTTTTTCCAAAGCAAAATGATTTTCTTTAATATTTTTTTAAATAATCTTTAGGTTTTTAAAATCTCCAACGGCTATATTCATGTTTGGTGATTTTGTCAAGGATAGAAAAATCTCTCACACTTGTTACAATGTTGGAATACATTCACATATTAATTTGTTATTTGGTTCAACACCTATGTATATATATTATTGTAAATTTCAGAATTTTGAAAATCAAATATTTATGGAATATAATATATTTATCTTAGATAAAAATGAAAATAACTATCGAGATTGATTATGATTGTGATTGGGCTTGTAATCAAATAATTATTAATAGATTTTGACTATAAAAGAAGTTGATGATCCATATCTATTATAATATATGGTTTTTACAATATATGTTTTTTTTAACAAGTTTGGTGTTAATTTCATTCCATAGAATATATAATATTAAAAAAAAGGTATCATATTGGACATACAATGTTAGACAATTGTCGTTAATTGAATACTCTAATGTCCTTCAAATGCAATTAAAATTTTTTATATGAATAATTCGACGGATGATGGATTCGTTGGATAATCACTGCTTGGGCTTCATATGAGTTTGTTTTAAGTTTGGGCCTACAACCTTATACTATAATGTTTTGGTCCAAAATCATTATGGCCGTAGCCCGATAATCAAGCCCAGCCCATTTAAAATAAGATGGTTTACACTTATTTGTTTTTTTTATAATATGATAAATATAATAAAAAAGAAGTAAAAAAGTATTAGTTCAAATAATATTTATCATAGTGGCAGAAAATTAATGGCACCAGAAAATTATTTCTGGAAGCCAATTGCATCTTCTCAAAAGAATAATTAAAAGAGAAAAAAGGATAGAAATATATGTGAAAAACTCAACAAGCATATATTCAAAAGCTAAAATTTGATGATTACAATTACAAAGAAAATCTCAAATTTATCAACTACAATTTGAACCAATGATTTGGAAAAGAATTTCATAATTTCAACACTAAGATGGAGGCATGATGCAACAAGTGTAGGTGTTTGAGATGGTCGAGTCGCAAAGCAATCACTAGACGTTTAAAGTATGGCCGATTCGATTTCGTAGATGGAGAGAAAATACACATTTTAATTACGGTACAAAAGGGTGTTTTATATGTATTAAAAAATTTAATTGGATTGGAGGTTTGATAATCTTTCGAGTTTTTAAACAAAAAAATATAGATGTCAAATTTTTATTTGATTTGTATAATAAATAATTGGCCAATATATACTAGGGGTGTCAAAAAAGCCCGAGGTCCGCTACCCGACCCGAGTCCGCCCGTAAAATTTACGGGTTTGGACCTAAGAAATTAAAACCCGGTCGTTCATCGGGCCGGGCCGACCGACCCAAAAAATGCGGGCTCGGGCCGGACTAACACGACCCGGCCCATCAACCCGAAAAATTAAATATATTATATATTATATAATATAAATATATATATAGATATAGATAAATATATATACATACATGCATTAATATATACATATTAATTCACTAATATTTAAATAAATTTTATTATTATATAAAAATTAAAAAATCCGAGTTTTAATTTCTTTTAAATTCATATATATATTAATAAATGTTTTTATCAAAATTTTATTTTTTATTATCTTTAGTGTATATTAATTTTTTTTCTATTTTGATAATTTTTATTAATAATTTTTATTTTTATTTTGTTATTATTTTTTTTAAAAAAAGTCCAAAGCCTGATCCGAACCCGAAAAAAGCCCATTGGGCCGGGCTTCGGACCCAAGATTTTAAGCCCGTATGTGTTTCGGGCCGGGTCGGTCCGGTCCGGCCATTTTGACACCCCTATTAAATACATGCGAAATTCCAAAGACCCCTCCTCCGCTTCCATGTTATATGGCGGACGTCATGCCATCTCCCTTTTTTATTATTAGGGAGGGATGGACGTTTTGACTAGGGTTGTCACAATGGGTAATCCAACCCATTTGGTTGGAACCCATTTGGATTATATAAATTAATGGGTTGGGTTGACCCAACCCATTAATAACATGATAAAAACTAAATGGATGGGTTAAAACCCATTAACCCAAATAGATTAATGCGTAGAGTTAGCAATAATGTTTAGCTGACTAATGTTAATATGTAGACTTAGTAATAATGTTAATGAGCCGAATCGCACTGAGGAGGAAAGAAAAAAGTCGAATCGCACTCAAGGGTCTGAAACCCGGTCTGAACCCGAAAAAAGTCCATTGGACCAGACCTCGGGTCCAAAATTTTAAGTCCACGTGTGTTTCGAGCCGGGCCGGCCCGTAATTCTTCGGGTTTTTGTCGGACTCGGGCCGACCCGACCATTTTGACACCCCTAATATATACACACACATTGTCTTCTATATTTCCCATATTTGATTTGTATGTTTGTGGACTTGCTGTGTATTTTGAACCCTTTGAATGCCAACACACACACATTGTAATTCCGAACATGTGAAATTTGGTTTAGATCTCACGTATCCAAATAAATAAATAAATATTGAATTTGCGCCCATTTCCAATAATTGATGTTAATTTATAACTATTAATTTACCGATTTATCTCATCCGATTTTTCTCTTCTGTTGTTATTTTGAAGATATGTGAAAGAGAAATACGAGTTTTTTTATTCATAATTATGGGGTTTTCTCTCTTTTTAAAATCCCTAGATGAAATTATTTGGTTCCACCGATCCATTGAAAATTATTTTATGGCTAATTCCTCTTTTTTATGACCCAAAATATATATTTGACTGTCCTTTTTTCAATGAATCCAAGGACACGAGATATTAAAATTAATACGAACTAATAAATAATTATTAACGGTCAAGATTGTGCAAACGTAATCCAACGGTCAAAACAAGCTCACTCCGCTACTGACACCACCTCTCATAATTCTCGTGTAGGACCCCTCACTCTCTCTTCTTCCTCTTTCTTCTCGCTCTCCACTGTGCTTAGGTTCCCACCGGGTCGGATCGGGTCAACTCGGATCGGGTCGGATCATTTATAAGAGCGAAATCACTCACTCGCTCTCTGACATATCTCTCTCTCTTTCCAACTTTCTCTCTGCTGTTTGAAGTGTGTCTCCTAGACAGCGATGGAACTGCGCCGGGCTATTTTAATGCCACGGAAAGCGAACTGAGACTGGTTTTTTTCCCCTTATCTTCTTTCTTCCTCCTCTCCACTAAGATCTCGTGAGAAAAGTTTCGCTTCTGGGGATTCTGCTTTGGTGGGTTGCTGAGGAAGTTCTTGCAGCTCAAGGTCCAATGCGTGCGTGTAGGGCTTTTGTTGTTCGTGCTTTGATGGCGTGGACAGCTGGATTGGGGTTCTGAGAAATGGGTTTTTGTCGGTTTCTTGTTTTCTGGGTTTTTCTCGAGGATTTTCTAGAAGGCTTCCTCTGATTTTACGGTGGGAAAATGGTGTGAATTTTAGGAAGGTATAAGAAAGAGATGGTGAACAACAAGCTTGTGGTGTTGGAGCTGAAGGTGTATAGCTTCTGTAGTTGCTGGAAGTGAGGAAGTGATTGTACGGAAATTAGGGTTTTGCTGATTTCAGCTCAGTATTTTTTGGTTTCCGGAAAGGAAAATTTGGGGTTTCATTCTCTGACATGAAGCTTTCAACATCTGGGTTGGGTCAACAGGGTCATGAAGGTTTGTCCATTTTCCTCTCATGGGTCTTGTCTTTAGCCTCCAGTTTTATCATTGTCTTTCGATTTACTTAATCAGTGGTCTCTGATTCGGATTCAAATTGGTGATCTTTTTAGCGATGTAGTGTCTGCAATCTCTTAGTTCTGTGTGTTTTCCCCAACAGGGGAGAAGAAGTGTCTGAACTCTGAGCTATGGCATGCATGTGCTGGACCACTGGTTTCTCTTCCATCTTCTGGAAGCCGTGTTGTCTACTTCCCACAGGGTCACAGCGAACAGGTTTTTCGATTTCCAGAGCATTTCTTTTGTGAATTTCTCGTTCTCTGTCTGGCTCCATTGTTTGATTGTCAATGGTGATGTTGGGTCTTCTCGTGAACTTGCAATAACTCTTAAAGTGTGGAGCTTTTTTTCTGTTTATATGGGGAATTTCCATTTATATCAAAGTGTACTTGTAGGTTGCTGCTACAACTAATAAGGAAGTTGATGGTCACATACCCAATTACCCAAGCCTACCACCCCAGCTGATTTGCCAGCTCCATAATGTTACTATGCATGTGCGTAGTTAGTTCCATGTCTCTTTCTCCCAATAACTGAGATCATTTTGGGATGTTACTTTGTAAGTATGGGTTTGTTTTCGTGCTCTTCAGGCTGATGTTGAGACGGACGAAGTGTATGCTCAAATGACACTTCAACCATTGACACCGGTATGATACGTTTCAAGTTTTTTGGGTGCTGAGAAAATGTTGGCAATTTAGGGGAGCCATTGATTGTTTCTTGTTGTTTCTGATAAAGGAAGAGCAAAAGGAAACATTTGTACCGATCGAGCTGGGAATCCCTAGTAAGCAACCTAGCAATTACTTCTGCAAGACATTGACGGCTAGTGATACCAGTACTCATGGAGGATTTTCTGTCCCTAGACGTGCTGCTGAGAAAGTTTTTCCTCCATTGGTAAGTTTTTTTTTCTTGAGCTAACTTACTTAAAATTTGATATGCTAAGATGTGTTGCTAGCCTAGCTGTGAATTCTTTCTTTTATTCTTTCCCTCATGCAGGATTACTCACAGCAGCCGCCCGCCCAAGAATTGATTGCAAAGGATCTCCACGATGTTGACTGGAAGTTTAGGCATATCTTTCGGGGTAGGTTTCACATTTCCTCTGTGGCCTTTAACTGCATAGAACTATTTCTATATGGTTGGACTTAAATCTTTGCTTAATGTTCCTATTTGTTTAATAACTAAAATAATTTTGTTTTAATTGTGAAGTATGTCTTTATTTGTTGTTGCATAATCTTTTCATGCATGTCTAGGACTTTGTAGAGTGTTCTATAATGCCCTTTTGTAAGCTCTGGATATGATGGCTCCTGAATAGCTATGGACTTGTTTTCTTTGTGAAGACAAAAAAAAGTTGATGTGGAAAACGAAATGGAATATTTCACTGTAAGTCATGTAAGAATCAGATCATTTAGTAGATTACTACCAAGGTTTCTGATAGACATGGCCGACATTAGAGATTTAGCTGGAATTTGTTTTATTTTTCGATTGAATCCGATCTCGGGTTCAATCCTGAAAAAACAACAACAAATGGAATTGTCTGATTGTAAGTCATGGCCTTGGACATAGTTAAGGTTGGTTAGAGCTTTCTGATCCTAGAGAGGAAAATAAAAGTTTCTGGGGGGAAATCACCAATATGACATAGTTCAATATATCTACTTTTATGGTTGATTTATATTTTCTGATTTCTTCTCAGTTCATATGTTCAATGGTGATTGTCACCTGCTCTTTCTTTCGCTTGTATTCATTCTAGATGAAGAAGCTACAATTGCTTTTTGAGTTCCATATGGTTTCACACCGTGAAATGGGACCTTTACTTCTGCACAATCGAGCTAAAGGCACTATGGTTTACATTTTTGTGCTTTCATTTCCATTTCCATTACTCGGTTCGTGTGGTATCTCATTCTTTTGCAGGACAGCCCAAACGGCATCTTCTTACTACTGGATGGAGCGTCTTTGTCAGTGCCAAGCGACTAGTTGCCGGAGATTCTGTTATTTTCATCAGGTTTTCTCTTCAATTGTTGCATATTTTTGTAGTGTATACTGGTTGTTCACTACCATCTTAACTCTCTTTCCTTCGTCAGGAACGAAAAGAATCAACTCCTTTTGGGCATTCGTCGTGCCATTCGGCCACAAACAATTATACCGTCATCCGTTCTATCTAGTGATAGCATGCATATTGGACTTCTTGCTGCTGCTGCACATGCCGCCTCAACAAATAGCTGTTTTACGGTTTTCTATCATCCGAGGTTGGTCGCCTTCCAACTGCTTATTCCTCTCACTATCTGACAAAATCTCCTACTGATATTCTTTTCATGTTCAGGGCTAGCCCATGTGAGTTTGTCATATCGCTTTCCAAGTACATTAAAGCCGTTTTTCACACGCGAATTTCAGTTGGGATGCGTTTTCGCATGCTCTTTGAAACAGAAGAGTCAAGTGTTCGTAGGTAATGTCATGCATTTATGAAATGCCATGTTGAAATATTTATCAGCTGGTTGAGACTTATGTTTCTCATATAACGTCAAGCCATATCCTGAAAAAGATGACATATTGTCCAGGTACATGGGCACGATAACTGGTATCAGTGATTTGGATCCTGTTCGTTGGCCAAACTCTCATTGGAGGTCTGTGAAGGTAATCCGTTAGCCTCTTAATTTGATATGGATTTCTTCATGGCATGCAGGAATCTGATTATTTGTCCCTCCCTTTTCTGTGAATGGATTAGCCTATGTGACTTTGTAATGCCCCTTTATTGAATTGCTTTGCTTAATGACTTGCTTTACAAGTACATATTCATTAGAAAAATTTTGAAAATCCAAACATTCTTATTGTAGGTTGGCTGGGATGAATCAACCGCCGGGGAGAGACAGCCAAGAGTTTCTCTATGGGAGATTGAGCCTCTTACCACATTTCCCATGTATCCATCACTGTTTCCCCTTAGGCTGAAGCGTCCTTGGCATGCTGGACCATCATCTCTTCACGGTATCCACCGGTTTAGTTGTTCTCCTACCTGTTTCCAGTAAAAGCTTGGTCACGAGGACTCTTGTTACCATTTTCGATGATCCTTTACCCTATCTTGACTTCTGTTAGACGATCATTTGGTATTAGAGCAGTTAAAAGTTTGACCTGGTATTAGAAAAGCATGAATGTGTTGGAAGCTGGAGATCAGAAAATGAAAATTCATGGCCAGTGTCGGAACTGTCGCTCAGATTTGTATTTACATAAGTTTTATTGGGTTGAGGTGACATTTTGATACTTGCTAGTGTTGCAATTTCTTGAAACCGGACCTTCCACGTTCTCTTCATAACCCGGTGGCTTGTTGTTTTCTGGTATGAATTATGTGTACTTCTCAATCATGATATGACTTGAATATGCTTGTCCATATCAATGAGAAATCTCCAAGTAACTTAAAGAAGAACAATGTCACACCAGAAGCCCTAACCTGAATCCTCTGATTCTAATTTTACATTTTTTGTGAAGGCATTCCGACTTGATATTCGCTAGGTATTGACATAGTTGGTCTGATATTGCAGATAACAGAGGTGACCTAACGAGTGGTCTATCGTGGCTTAGGGGTGGAGCTGGAGAGCAGGGTTTGCTTCCTCTGAATTTCCCGTCTGTCGGTATGTTTCCATGGATGCAACAGAGGCTGGATCTTAGTCTACTCGGACCTACCGATCATAATCAGCAGTATCAAGCCTTGTTGGCTGCCGGTTTTCAGAATATGGGAGGTGGATATCCTCCAAGGCAACAGCTTGTCCAGCTGCAAGAGCCTCACCACCCGTATCTTCAACAATCAGGTGGCCACAATTCAGATTTGCTACTTCAGCAACAGCAGCAAGCATCTCAACAGCAATTTCCACGTCATCTCCTGGAGGGTCAAACCCCGACGCTGACCGAGAATCTTCCCCATCAAAATACGCGTCAAGATGTTAGTAACCAACCCGCCGGGCAGCCTCAGCAACCCGACCATTCGTATCTGAACGCTTTCAAACTTCAAAACGGTCATCTCCAACAATGGCAGCAACCAGACGTGCCTTCGGCTTCATTCATGAAAGCGGGTTTTGCAACAACAGCTAGTCGGATACAGCAGAATTCAGCGGCCCCTTCCAGTTCTGCTGATGGTAGCAATCTCTTGAATTTCTCGATAACGGGTGAGCCTTTAATGGCTGAGCAATTACCATCACAGGTATGGTCTCCTAAACACGCCCACTCTGCAGCTACCACTTTTTCTGAACCATTGCCGCTTCAACAAGGAGGATACACCGGGAAAAGTACCGCCCTGGAACCAGGAAATTCCAACCCGAATTCCCAGAATCCTTCCATCTTCGGCGTTGATACCGACTCTGGACTCTTCCTCCCGACCACTGTTCCCCGTTATGCTACATTGTCAGCAGATGCTGACACTTCTTCAATGTCGGTAACGGATTCCGGATTCCAGAACTCCTTATACAGCTGCATGCAAAATGCTCCTGAGTTATTGCATGGAGCTGGGGACATCAACACATCGAACCAGACCGAGAACTTTGTTAAGGTTGCATGTTTCAGCACAATTTTATGACAAAACTCCTTCCTGGCTCCCTGTGGTATATATTGCAATGAAAGGTGATAGTATTAATTGTATGTGCAGGTGTATAAATCTGGATCGGTGGGGCGGTCACTGGACATATCCCGATTCAGCAGCTATCACGAGCTGCGGGAAGAGTTGGGAAAGATGTTTGGAGTGGAGGGATTGTTGGAAGACCCTCTTAGATCAGGCTGGCAGCTTGTATTTGTGGACAAGGAGAATGATATACTTCTCCTTGGCGACGACCCTTGGGAGTAAGTTCAACTCTTCATCTCTTGTCATATAATTCTGTCCTTTTTATTATTAACCTCTGCAGGTATACATCTGCATTTACAATCACTGAAAATGATCAGTTCTTGAAGCATATTAACATGCCTTCTTGATCTTCTTGAACTATGGGCCAAAGTGCTGAGATTTCTTTCACATGCTCTGTTCTCTGGTCTTTTAAGTGGCCTCCATCCAATGCATTTTGAGTTTTTTTTTTTATGGTGCAGGTCATTTGTGAATAATGTATGGTACATAAAGATACTATCGCCGGAAGATGTGCAGAAGATGGGCGAAAATGGCGTCGGATCCTTCCCGCAGAACCCGAACCATCCCTAATGTAGACCCCAACCCCGATCTTCCGAAGTGTATCTGTATCTGCCCCATATCTTCTCTTATTTGGACATAACATGAAACAGCAAAGATGGTTTTTGTATTCAGAATCCTTCAAAACATTTTAGGGCTAAATGAGTTGTGTTGTATGGACACTGGGAGATATGGTGTCTAGAACCCGAATCCTTCAAAACACTGTATCTGAACTTAGAAGATAACACCCAATGGGGTATTTGCTTCTGTCATGCTATTAACACTGGGAAACAATATGGTTTTGTACCCTACTTGTCTGTCATCGAGCAAATTGAACAGCCTCCTCATAGTTGGTTGCTGCTTTGTTCCTCAGCTTTACTTTTCACTTGTCTCAAGACTCAAGATTCAATTCATTACATGACAAAAGCAATAGCAAAACCTACAAATGTGTTGAGGGATTTGCCCCATTCTCAGTACATGTTTTCCATCTGGTAGGGAACCAACACCACAAGTTCACAATACAGATATGGAACAAGCAAAAAACATATACAAAGGCCTAGAATGGTTTCCCAAAAGATCGAATTACCTAATCTTTGCATTCAGTCTCGTTTTACAATATCAAGGCTTCAGTTCTAGACACCATATCAAGGAGGCCAAATGATCATAAGCAAGAATTTACACATTGCACACAGTTCACACTCTAGAGATCCATCATCCTCTCTAAAATCGATACAACCATAAATATGCAAAGGAAACATGGCATACATTCGTGAGACCGGAAATTCGATAAGACAAAGAGCAAAATGATTCTCAAGCTAAGAGCAAAAGGCCTAACCTTGTTGATGAACCACAAAGGCTCACATATGATCACACAACCAGTCACGGTGGTGAAACGATCATCAGTGAATCTACCATTACCAGATGCGTCAGTACATATAAAAGGAACATACTTACAGTTGAGAACGTCGATATAAAAATCCACACTTCATAAAGCACGAACATTTCAGTATATTTGGATTATGATAAACCCACAAGGGGAATTGGTTTACTGTTAAGTCGCAACATTGCACAGACCAAACTGTAAAAGCAAAGAGAGGATCACATGATATGCAGAAATTCGATTCACAGAAGAAATGAAGGGTTTTGTACTTTTTCACTCGGGGTAAGAACACCTCGTTCAAGCAGCCTCCTTCACAGGAGCAGGGTCAGGGATCTTGACGTAACCCATCTTCTTATGGGTCGAATCATCGTAGCCATCGGTCTCGTAATCCTCGCCCTCGAAGTTGTAGCTATGGCGGTTCGCGACGAGAGCCCAGACGAGGTACATAGTCGCTGCGGTGAGAGCGCCGCAACCGACGCCGAATAGGAGAGCGACGACGACGCTGAGGATGTCCCTGGTGCGGTCTCTGAAGGAATTGATGTTCTCAGAGATGAAAGGGATGGAGAATTCGGGCCGAGATTCCGACGATGACCGTACGAAGGCGGAGGGGAGGAATCCTCCGCCGTCGTGGCGGCGGTGGGCGAAGAAGGGTCGGCGATGGTAGGGACTGAAACGGCGGACGGTGAAGACGGTGACGAACCTGGGGGAGGAGAAGTCGGGTTCGCCGTCGGAATTAGGGTTAGGGTTTTCTGGGGTTATGGAGAGGGAGTAGGAGGAGATGAGGAAAGTCTTGCACGGACGTGCTGCGGCGGCGGAGATCGCCAGAAACCCTACGAAGATCGCGAGGCGGAGGAAAGCTGAGGAAGCCATTGATGAGCTCTCTGCTTCGTCTTCTTCCGATTCGATCAATGGAAAAACAAACCTACTAAGAAGTTTCGGACGAGAAAAAAGAGCTACAATTTAAATTGTTTGTACAGAATTGGTGAATTATTTATTACGTATAAAACATTGTGTTAAATATTTTAACTTATATATATATATATATATATTTCATATGTTGTTTTTAATTTTTTGTAATTCGAAATCAACAAATTTAAAAATTACATATATATTTTTATTTGTTTGAATTAATTTAAAAGCTGTCAAACAAATCTTCTAATTGGATAATATAAACAGAATTATTTATTTTTCCTAAAAAACTATAAAGATGTATTAGTATTTAATATCATATAAACCAACTTATCACAAAATTAATAACTATTTTCGTATCTTTTTTCTATATTACAAGTTCGTAATTTGATTAGAAATAATATTTCTTTTCAAATTTATAATAAATTTACAAATTATTTTTTTGTTTAAATATAATAAATTAAAAGTTATTATGTAAATGAAATTGTTCCGATGGAATCAAACAAAGTATTACAAGCTTCTGGACCTCTGGCACCAATTTTATGACTGAAGCGTCTTTTTGTTTAGGGCTAACAATTGGGCTTTATTCTTGTGTGTTGTAAGGAGCCCATCCATATATATATATATATATAAAATCTGCATAAATAAGTTCATATGAATATTTATAAATATATATATATATATAAATAATACTGGAGTCAAAATTAAATTATTCAAATTTGTCATTTTATTTATATTCGGATTAGGGCTAGCCGAAATTTCTCAAGGACCAGGAAACAATATATATATATATATATATGATCTGCGTAAATAAGTCCTAAAGCTGTCCACTTGATTTCTCCTTCACATTATAATCATTCATTAAATGCATAATCATCCTTCCATAATTCCACAGATGAGTGGGGAAAAAAATGGAATCGACGATTTAAATATGAGAGAGAAAACTATGATTCTATAAGATTATAATAAACATTTAAATTTGATATCTTTCTGTCTTTTATATCGATATTTTATATCTGAAATTCTATATCTGAAATTACAATAAATCTCCGATAATATCCTCAATTGAAAAGATGGTAAAAAAGAGAGAGAGAATATAAAAGCATTATTTTTTTTAGAGAATAAAGGGAAAAAATTAGAGAGAATGGAAGAAAATATATTTAAGATTTATATTGAAAGTAATGCTAAATATTTCCGTGAAACTATCAAATCCAATGTATCCACACTGAATAGGCCAAATATAAAATAGATGTGAACAAGCAAATATTTATAATGGAAAATATTCTTCACCGAATCAGAAAGTAAAATAAAATCCCTAAACCTTCTCTTTTAGATTAGCAAAACAAGAAAAAAATCTAAAAATTTGATAAAAGCCAACTGTTTTATTTTTAAAAGTTTTTTAAAAAATAATATTTGGGTTTGAACATGGGACAAAAACCAACTGTTAAACCCCAATTATTAAATTTTTTTAGAAACCTTAACTATAATGAGAAAGGTAACTAACGCCTAAACAAATTAATATAATCGCTGAAAAACACTTAAATGGTATGTAAGGGGAAATTAATGGAAATTTATTCACAAATAAAGTAAGATGAAATGCTTAGTTGTCTACAAATATATATATTTATATTACATTTTAATCTATTTTATGAATAAATAATGGAATCAAATTTGGAGCGTGAAACTCACACGAAATAATAACTATTGACAGTGAACGAGAAACTTTCGGAAATGCCAGCTTTCGCTCTCTCTCCCCTTATTTAAACACCCTCTCTCCGTAATTCCATAGCAGAGAGAGAGAGAGAGAGAAACCGAAAGAGAGAGAGCGACCTCGGGAGCATCGGTTTCGGAGGTCAGTCAGGTCGGAGTCGAGACGCGGCGGCGATGGCGATGGAGGACGATCGGAGCAAGAAGGACGACGATTTCAACGATACGGTGGCGGAGGAGACCTCCGTCGAGAGGATATTCGAGGAGAGCGGCGCTGTTCCTCCGCCGTGGCAAAACCAGTTGACTATACGAGCACTGGTCGTGAGTTTCGTCCTCTCGATCATGTTCACTTTCGTGGTGATGAAGCTGAATCTGACCACCGGAATCATCCCGTCGCTCAACATCTCCGCCGGTCTCCTGGGTTTCTTCTTCGTCAAGACATGGACGAAGCTTCTCCACAAGGCTGGGTACCTGAAGCAGCCCTTCACCAGGCAGGAGAACACTGTCATTCAGACTTGCGTCGTCGCTTCCTCCGGCATCGCCTTTAGCGGTACGTTTGAATTTCGATTTTAGAAAGCAAAATCACGGAATGTGAGTCTGTTCTTCAATTCATGGATACTGTGTTGTGGGGACGATGGAATCTGGATTTGCACTGGCCAATTGAAAATTATTCAACTGTTACCCTTTGACTATGCAATTGCATGCACCCATGGAAACTGGATTTTCATATTCCAAAAAAACACTAGAATAGACGAATTTCAGTTTAATTATTTTTCGATTTTTAGAAAAACCCTATTCATTCAGGTAAATTGTATTTCAGAATGGATTCTTTTTCCATTAAATTCAAATTTTATTGATAAAAATATCCATTACTTTTAAAAAAATGATTTAAAAAAAATTATATTTATTCGTTTTTTTAATCAAAATTAGTTTGGATTTACATGTACTGCTACATTAAACCGAAACATGAATCTTAGAAATTGACGGCTGATGTAAATTAGTCTTGATACGAGTTGACTTGCTGGTCACGTGAGTGAAAACGAAAACTGGAAGACTAGGTAGAGCTGGCGAGATCTACTGCCGAAACTTAATCCTGAAATCACCTTCTCTTATGCATCTATCGAATATATATATATATATACATATCTATATACACACATATGTACATATGAAGAGAGTGCTGACGAGAAAATGGATGAACAGGAGGGTTTGGAAGCTACCTGTTTGGAATGAGTGATGTGGTGGCCAAACAGATATCGCCAGAACCCAGCCCTCCGATGACCATAAAGAACCCACAATTGGGATGGATGATTGGGTTTCTTTTCGTCGTTAGCTTCATCGGCCTTTTCTCTGTGGTGCCTCTGCGAAAGGTACATCCTTTTCTTCGTTCTCTTCTCTCCACTTCAATCATTACAAAACACAAGATGAAACCCGTTTCTTCTTGTTTATGGTTTCTTCAGATCATGATCGTTGACTTCAAACTGACATATCCAAGCGGTACTGCCACTGCCCATCTCATCAACAGCTTCCATACCCCTCAAGGTGCAAAGCTAGCTAAGTAAGCCCTTTAACCCATCACGTTATGTTCTTCTTCCTGTGTTGTTTTTCTGGTTATGCGTTTTTTAGAGATTATGTCTGTGTTGTGGAATAAATATTCGCAGGAAGCAAGTGAGAACTTTGGGGAAGTTCTTCTCTTTCAGTTTCTTGTGGGGTTTCTTTCAGTGGTTTTTCACTGGCGGTGATGACTGTGGTTTCACCGCCTTCCCTACATTTGGTCTCAAAGCTTATGCAAGCAAGTAAGTTTAACTATAAAGATTCACACCTTTTTTGCTTGCATTGTTCAGTTTCCTTACAGATTGTTGTTGTCTTTTTGTTTTGTTTTTTAAAAAAACAGGTTCTTCTTTGATTTCTCTTCTACTTATGTCGGTGTCGGGATGATTTGCTCGTATTTGATCAACATATCTGTTCTCCTTGGAGCGATCCTCTCGTGGGGCGTTATGTGGCCTCTGATAGGAGCCCAGAAAGGGAAATGGTATTCTTCTGAGATCCCTGCAAGCAGTCTCCATGGACTTCAAGGTTACAGGGTAAAGCTTCTCTATGCAGACTCTCGTGAAAACCCCCCCGGCTTTTTCGGAACTTTAAGTTGCTATCTTAATCTTATTATGGATCTATGCAGGTGTTTATAGCCATAGCTATGATCCTCGGTGATGGCATCTACAGTTTCATCAAGGTTCTTTTCAACACTCTTCTCTTCTACTTATGTCGGTGTCGGGATGATTTGCTCGTATTTGATCAACATATCTGTTCTCCTTGGAGCGATCCTCTCGTGGGGCGTTATGTGGCCTCTGATAGGAGCCCAGAAAGGGAAATGGTATTCTTCTGAGATCCCTGCAAGCAGTCTCCATGGACTTCAAGGTTACAGGGTAAAGCTTCTCTATGCAGACTCTCGTGAAAACCCCCCCGGCTTTTTCGGAACTTTAAGTTGCTATCTTAATCTTATTATGGATCTATGCAGGTGTTTATAGCCATAGCTATGATCCTCGGTGATGGCATCTACAGTTTCATCAAGGTTCTTTTCAACACTCTTTTGTTCTTCCAGTCGATGACCGGTCTCCCTCTTTCCCATCCGTTTCTTTCGATGACAAACGAAGAACCGAGCTCTTCCTCAAGGACGGGATCCCTGCATGGTTTGCAGTTGGTGGTTACGTTATCTTCTCAGCGATTTCCATAATCGCCGTTCCCTTCATCTTCCCGCAGCTAAGATGGTACTACATCCTTGTAATGTACCTCATCGCCCCCATCCTCGCCTTTTGCAATGCCTTTGGATGTGGACTTACCGATTGGTCATTAGCATCTAACTATGGAAAGATTGCGATTTTCGCAATCGGTGCCTGGGCTGGAGCCTCCAATGGAGGAATTATAGCCGGACTTGCTGCTTGTGGTGTCATAATGAACATTGTCTCCACAGCTTCTGACCTGATGCAGGATTTCAAGACAGGTTACCTGACATTGGCTTCTCCAAGATCTATGTTTATCAGCCAAGTCATAGGAACCGCGATGGGCTGCTTGATTTCACCAAGCGTTTTCTGGCTATTCTACACGGCGTTTGACGGGTTTGGACAATCTGGGTCGGCGTACCCCGCTCCATTCGCCCTCGTGTACAGAAACATGTCCATTCTCGGAGTCGAAGGCTTCTCAACCTTGCCTAAACACTGCCTCATGCTATGCTACATTTTCTTCGGGGGATCATTCGCTGTGAACGGTTTAAGAGACGCGGTCGGACCCAAGTGGTCGAGGTTTATCCCTCTCCCGATGGCGATGGCGATTCCTTTCTACCTCGGAGGGTATTTCGCCGTCGACATGTGTGTCGGAAGCCTCATCTTGTTCATATGGAGGAAGGTGAATAAACCTAACGCAGACGCTTTCAGCCCGGCCGTAGCTTCCGGTTTGATTTGCGGAGATGGAATTTGGACATTGCCCAACTCGATTCTCGCCTTGGCCGGTGTCAAGCCGCCGATTTGCATGAAGTTCTTGTCGAGCTCGGACAACGTGAGGGTCGATGATTTCCTAAACTCTTCTTAAAGATCTCTCTTTTGGTCGGCGCTTGCTGTTAGGATTCTGTGCTTCGATCGTTTCGTGGTGTGTTTTCTGCCATATTCTAAGTTGCTTAGTCTATTGTTCCTATGTTGTTACTCTTAGTATGTACAAACACATTAAATAAACGTGTTGTTCATTTTCTTCTATGTCCGTTTCATATGTTACATGTGATTTTTTTCATCCCTATATTTTCTGCAAGGCTAAGATGACATGTCTGAACCATGAGGAAAACCAGATTGAAGACTAGAGCTTGATTCAATTAGTACGCGATGGAAAAACCTCGGTACAAACGGTATCTATAAGGGAATCGATGACCATATAATGAGCCCGAGCTCTTCCTATCGAGCAAGAAGGGAAAACGATTGAAACGTCTGTATCATTGTAGCGAAAAAACGAGGTCTGCTTTCCGTTTTCTGGATCGATAAAGAGTTTCGGGTAATGTAGCTTATCAAGAATGCTTAGCTTAACGGATTCTCTCGCAGCGTTCTACGGCAAGGGAGAGGAGAGTCGGGACTAGACGGATCGCAAAACCAGTAAGTGTAGGCCAAATGTATTGATAGATCTCTAAGGTCTATCAAATTGCTATTGCGGGTATCCGGGATTTTCAGCCTACTTGACCTCGGTCTTGCCCTTCTCGGACTTTTTTCGATCAAAGAACTCATGGTGGTCGCGAGAAGGATTCAAGTATCTGCTGCGTACCTCGTCAACCGGACGGTAGGGCTTAGAGGTTTTTACCCGAGGTCCGCGGGTTTCCAGGTACTCGTTACAAACGAGACAGAAAACGGGTGTAATAAGGCCAAAACTTGGATCCTGAGTTCAGATTTTTCCAAAACATTACGGGCTATGTAAAAGGATATTAATAAAATAAAGTTTGTACCCTTTATTATTTTAATATAATTACAATAACACCTTTAATTTCATTTAAAATTATCAAAATACACTTAATGTCGTGAAAATTAAAAAAATAAAAAATTTAACCAAATTTGGACGACACAAAAGAACACACAAAACATGCTAATATCCGAATTCAAATCCAATCATGGAATGAGAAATTCACTCATACTTCTCCGATTATCCGATTATCTGAAAGATATAGTTGGATAAAAACATGGTGAATTTTTAATTATAAAAGAAAAATTAAAAATTTTCCGGGTTTCCGATACTCCAACATTCGATTTCAGCGCGGACGGATTTCCGGTTTCGCGAAACCAAAACCGAAACCGAAATAATACCCTAGGAAACATGCGAGTCGAGCTCCTTTTGCATTTGGTTTCTGAATCGATGTCTTCGACTCTTCGTCAACGATAGGGGTGGGCGAACGGTCGGTTACGGGTTAATCGGTTACGGTTATTTCGGGTTCGGTTATTTCGGGTTATTAAAACTCATAACCAAACGGTTAATTAATTTTATTCGGTTCGGTTCGGTTCGGTTTCGGTTCGGTTTTGTCTATTTAAAACTATAACCAAACTATAACCAAATAAATATTTCGGTTCGGTTCGGTTATAATATTTAAAAAATCAATTTATTTATAATTAGAAATATTCAAATATAATATATTATAAAATATTATCATAATTATTTTAACATATAAAATAATAATATCTAAATTTATATTTTGATATAAAACTATTAAATAAATAAAGATCGTTTTTTTTCTAATGTTTATATCACACAAACTTTAAAAATAATAATAACAATGATAAAATGTGTTTAAAATATAATAAAACAATGATCAAATCAAGAATATAAACATTCATATATGTATATAAATATATATAAATGAAGATATATAAACGGTTCGGGTTCGGTTAATTCGGTTTATAAAAATTTATAACCAAACGGTTAATAATTTTTAATCGGTTCGGTTCGGTTCGGATTCGGTTATTTCGGATTTTAAAAAAGCATAACCAAACGGTTATTTAATTTTATTCGGTTCGGTTCGGTTCGGGTATATATCGGTCGGTTCGGTTAATAACCGAAATACCCGAACCGAATGCCCACCCCTAGTCAACGACGATCAGTATCACGGAGTAGGGATGTCAATTAAGCCCAGAACTCGAAACCCGGCCCGAACCCGCCCGAAAATTGTAAGGATATGGGTCTAGAAAATGTAGGCTCATTAAACTTCGGGCTTTCGGACCTCGGGCTAAATGGGCTGCGGGCGGTCGGGTCGGGCTTGAGGCCCGTTATTTTTTTTTGTTTTTTCTAACCCTCTTTTCTAAACCAAAGTTTTATATCTTGGTTCTAATTAAACTTTTTAAAGTGACGGGAGTTTTGAATTTCTTAACCATATTACATCATTTTATATTTTTGAAAGGGTAGAAGTTTTCAAATATATATATTTTTAAACCTTTGTTTGTATATAAACATATTAATTTTTTTTTTCTTTAGGTTTCAAATTAATTACATCATAGATTTTTTTTTATATTATGTTTGTTATTTTTTTTATCACGTTTAAAAGTTTGTAATTGCAGGATGTGGTGTTGGAGAATTGAACAATTGGATAATTTTTTCAATTTTATTTTTATTTGTGAACTAAATGACTTTGTTGTTATCTCTTTTAAAAATATTTTTGTTGAATGTTTCACATTATTATTATTATTATTAATATTATTATTATTATTATTATTATTATTATTATTATTATTATTATTATTATCGCAAAAAAATATTTTATTTAATAAAAAGCCCAAAGCCCGGCCCGAACCTGCCCGAAACTCTATAGGACTGGGCTCCGGACCATCGATTCTAGACCCGAAAAATAAATGGGCGGGCCGGCCCGATCCGAAAAATTGTAGGCCCGAATTGAACCCGGCCCGACCCGCCCATTTTACACCCCCTATAACGACCTGATTCTATGTCTTCCACTGCACCCGATTCGAACCCCGATCTTTCTGAACCCAGAATTCCGATCCCAACACCGAACCCGACACCGACAATGGCTGCGACAACATCTGATAATGCTGTTTTCCCCCGACGAACGATCTCTCCTTATGATCTCACACCAAGCGACAATCTCGGTCTTGTGCTTTCTCAACCACTGCTTCGAGGAGATAATTACGACGGATGGTCCATCAACATTCGCCAAGCGTTGAAATCACGCAAAAAGTTTGGATTTATTGATGGTACCATCCCGAAACCAGACCAGACTTCACCGGATTTTGAAGACTGAGACACAAATAATGCCATCATCACATCATGGCTCAAGAACACTCTCGAATCGCATCTCCGTTCTGATGTCGCTCATCGCGAATATGCTCAAGTTCTATGGAACTATCTCAAGCGCCGGTTTGGTCAGACGAATTCCACTCATCTGCTCAAAATTCGATCCGACCTTGCCAATTGTCGTCAACAGGTCATGACAATGGCTGCGTACTTTGGAAATCTGACAAAGCTTTGGGATGATTTGGCTAATTTTCGTTCCTTGAAACAATGCAAATGCAATAACTGCATCTGTGACATCACTGCGACTCTCAAAAAGGAACGAAATGAAGATCGCTTGTACGAGTTTCTTCTTGGATTGGATGAATCGAGGTATGGGGTTGTGAAATCCAATCTTTTGTCTCGTCAATTTCTTCTAAGCCTTGAAGAAGCTTACAATATGGTGTGTCAAGATGAAGATACGAAGAATGTTTATCACACTGACGATAAACATGAAGCTGCGTGGTAAGAAATAAAATGAAACTGTAAGCTTGTCTTGTGAACAAGTTTTTCCTAGATTTGTCCTCGAATATTTATCTTTCCAACAGATTCATCTTCAACTTCAATCTTAAAGTAAAGTTTTCACAAATCGGGCGAATGCTGCCCAGGTTGTACCTTCACCCTCTGTTCTCCCTGTTGCTGAATCTGACAAGAATATGATCACTGGCATTACTCAGGAGCAATGGCACACGTTGATGACTATGCTCAACACTTCCAGAATCGATAATCCTGATACACTTTCTGGTAAGAACTCTCCAGCCCTCTGGATTCTTGATACTGGATGCTCGCAGCATATGACCGGAAATCTGTCTTCGTTGGTTGACGTTTGTTTGATACCTCCTTGCTCTGTTATTTTACCTGATGGCCGGACAGTGATTTCGGTTCAGTCTGGCTCAGTTTTCCTCAGTGTTCAATTGTCCTTGATGGTCGTACGCCATACGAGCTTCTCCATGGCCATGCCCCGAAATATGATCATCTCCGGGTTTTCGGCAGTTTATGTTATACTCATAATCAGAATCGAGACAACGACAAGTTCGCTCCAAAGAGTTTTCGCTGTATATTTGTTGGCTACCCATATGGTCAAAAGGGCTGGCGCATCTACAATCTCGAGTCCAAGAAATTTTCTGTTTCGCGAGATGTGATTTTCTCTGAAACGCAATTTCCGTTCTCTGAAAATGCAGTGATCTGACCTCTGTTTCTCGGGATTTGCTGGATCACTCTTCATCTTCTGCCTCTGGACCTCGAGTTTCGCCGGCTGTTCCAGGTTCAGCCTCTGTTTCTTCTGCATCTGATGTACCTGTCCTAGGACGAGGACACCGCCAACGTTTTAAGAATGTCCTTCTCCAGGACTTTGTGACACATGCTGTCACCGTTAACCTAGGAGCAAAATTTCCACTACAGAATTATATTTCCTATGATCGTGTTCTACCAAATCATCGAGTTTTTCTTGCAACAGTCACTGCCGCAACAGAACCTCGATCTTATTCAGAAGCTTTTCAAGATCCTCAGTGGAAAAAGGCCATGAAAGATGAAATTGTTGCTCTCGAACAGAACCAAACATGGGATCTCGAACTTCTTCCTCCACACAAGACTGCTATTGAATGCAAGTGGGTGTTCCGCATAAAATACAAATCGGATGGAACTGTCGAGCGTCACAAAGCCCGTCTGGTTATCCTCGGTAATCGACAAACGGAGGGTGTCGATTATGATGACACATTCGCCCCTGTCGCCAAAATAGTCACGGTTCGAACCTTTCTTGCGGTGGCTGCAGCCCGACAGTGGACGGTACATAATGGATGTACACAATGCTTTCCTCCATGGCAATCTCTCTGAAGAAGTCTACATGAAGCCGCCAACGGGTTTTTCTCTGCCGAATCCAAATCACGTTTGCCGACTTCGCAAGTCTCTTTATGGTTTGAGACAAGCGCTCAGGTGCTGGTTTGCCAAATTGCACGCATCCCTT